AAAAGAGAACGCTTTCACAGAAAGCAGATGTAAAGTTGGACAGTTCACCAAAAAGGAGAGTACAGATATTAGTGGATAAAGCCTGGCAAAGTGGTGTTTGGTTTTTTTTTTCTGGGGTCTTGTAGCATGTGGCCACTATTTCAAAATCTGCTAACGCCATTCAAGTTTCATTGCCCAATTCTCATTAAACATTAATGAAATATGGGCAACTATCTCAAAGATAGTCTGGAAGGCTGCAGACTGTTGTGATAAATCATAGCAATATATTGTCATGTATTAAAAAAAAAAAAATCTTCAATACCATAAGGTAAAGAACAGACAGAACACACTCAACTGCTTCCCTGATGTCTTCTGGTGAAAGGGTCTCTACTTCTACATTGAAATAGATTTGGATACCTTTTTGTTCCTAAAACTCAGGTAATTAATTCACAGGAGACTGCAGTCAGCAAAACAGATTACTAAGCAAAACAGATCATTAAGATACTATACTTTCCTTCCCTATGTTTCATAAGAACAGAAAACTGATACCTTGCACACCTGATCAGCAAAGAAAGCCTGTCCTTTTCCAGTCATGGGAGTTGAAGTTGATGAGTGCGGGGAGGACAAATCACTAAGCTGTAAAAGATTTTATTTAAATAGATATGTATACATACATGTACATATAACTACCTAACATGTCTCCATATGTATACATACACACACACTGAAGAGTACTTTTCCCTGTATTATCATAAATCACAACTCTAGATTATTTTCAAACAGCAGATCTAATTATTCAGTGCTCTTCTGAGTCAGTACTACATACGCAGTGTAGCTGTCATATAGGTAACGTTCCAGTTCAACATTAAGCCTAACTATTAAACTGCATTTTGATACTATATAAATCTATTTAAGTATTTTATTTTCATCTGTATATATGCATAATAGTGTGTACATATATATGCATAATTAAAATATACATAATTACCTACTTATGGAAGTCAGCAAAACCAAGAGACCTTCAACTTCAGGTGGAAGATGCAATTGTACAGTAAAATTTGTACACTTTTATCTTAGACTATGCTGTATCTCAAGCAGTTTTGCTTAGTTAACGTAACCTACATGTGCTTTCATGGTGTCATCCCAATGTCAGGAAAAGCACTCATGGTAAGACAGGCATATAAAATAACAGTGACAGAGCAAATCCAGCCCACATCGTTCACATAATGTTCAAAACGCTTTTCACCGCCTAAAAGCATCTCAAAATCGGTCTTTTCTTTACCTGAATAGGACTGATAGGAGGAGGTGGGGCTTTGCGTTTTTTTGGAGTTCCACTTCTTTCTGAACTTAATTTAGAGCCTTGATCATGCTGAAAGTTTCACCAGCCAGAAAAGGTAGGTTTGTTAGTTTGGTTAGTAAAGTCCGAGCAAGTTGTTTTATAAAAACAAAACAAAACAAAAAACCCACATTAATATCAACTTTAGCAGCTCATGCAGCGCCTTATTTTTTTCTTCCTATATAAAGACTACATCTCTACTAACACAAAGATATTAAACATGCCTGACAATAAGAATCTGCCCACTTGTAATCCATGCTTCAGTGAAAACAAACAAGATTTAGTGAAAAAGCAGAAGCTGACAATAGGTTTAGCACTAGTGATCTTAAAGAATTCCATTCATACACAGTCGAGTCATGCCATTCTTCACGGCTACCATCTTTCCTCTCCACCAACTTCTCCTTGAGCTCCCTCAAAAACCCACCTCTCCACTGACAGAGGGAATGAACCAATGCACTGCACCCTCTCCCGCTTTCCAGCCACCAGCATGTCTACAAGGTCTACTTGCACTCCAAGATATGATACTAAATAAAATAATGTAAGAAACTAATTCAATTGCCTAAATCTGCTGGGGTTCTCACAGGTGGGGGTCTCCAGTAAGATGTAACCAGGGGTAACCTTCAATTATATGTTTTGGAAACAGGGAACTTTTCTAGATCATCTTCTTAAACAGTTTAAAGAGACAGGGAGTCCAAAGGCCAAGCTCCTGCATTACAGGTGAGAAAGCTGGCGCATCCTCCCAGCACACGTGCACACACACACGCGCCCTCCCTTCCTTTCCCCACTGAGGGTGCTGACTGCTGTCACAGAGAGAAGCCAAGTCTAAAAGCGATGATCCTGAAACATGTTTCTTAAATATGCAACAAAAACCTTTCACACTACAAAGTAGTCAATGGCAGCGTATCTCACAGTGACATTTACTAGAGCCTCTAGTCATGTCAATTACTGGTTTTGCTTAAGCTACAAGTCTATATAGCCAGAGTATTTTTAAAACCGAAAGGACAAATACCTGCTTTGCTTTTGTTGGTGACTTTGTATCTGTGAAGCAGAAAAGAGGCAGAATTAAGAACTACCACCAAAGAAAATTCTATTTGCCACTCCTAACCCATCTCTCAGCTCCACTTCTCACACCATAAATTTTTGATTTTTGAATTCCTGTCTGAAATCTAAGAAATATATGTTAATTTTCAAAATCCATTCGAACAATATCCTTTCTCTGCTGTTTTTTGGGTTTCATATTGAGATAAAATTTGACAGATTGAGACAATTCTTATTCTACCATAGTCTTGCACCATTCTTGCACGTTAGCTTCCTACTTTAGAAAGTTGTTTGACCACAAAACCCTCTGCCTGCACTAGTTCCTTGTCCAGCCCCTCTACTGAGGAGCTATATGTTGCACTTACTCTTTCACATAATAAAGAAGGATCTATTCCAAATTGTGTGCAAGACTTCATGATGCTGCTACATCAGCTTACCTTCCCTTTCTCCAGAACACCTCTTTTTGCCCTGCTCAGTGCTTTATCCCATGCTAAATATTACCAGCTATGGCAAAGACCACATTTTCCTGCTTTTGGGAAGCCTCAGCCAGACAGTCTTGAAGACAGCTTTTGAAACTTTTTCAGGCTACCTTAGGAAGTAAATTTGTTCACTGCTAAACACACATGTGGCCAGTTCAAGAACTGATAAACTGCAGATCGGCATATCTTACATACCCACATCCTGAGATAACTTTGACACCAGGAGATTCTGGATCCCTGTATTCTCGGAGAGCTTGGAGTAATGCAGGGCATTCTGTCCAAAGACATCTACTAAACTGACATCTGCACCTTTTGTAAGGAAGGCTTCCACCATGTTAAGGCTACCAGTTTCGCAAGCCATCATCAAAGCAGTTCTGGACAAAACAAACAAAACATACACAGAGTAAGCATCAAGACTGCACTCTTTAAGCAGCAGTTCATTTTTTCAGGAAAAAACGTATGACAATGATTGTGCAATAAAGTCCAAGATTTTATCAACATGTGTATTGACACACAGATGTAATTCTTGTTTCTCCTTACAAATGCCTGCCTGTCCCTCCTCCTCTTCCCCATACTCCCCAGCTGGACATTGTGCAAAGACCTGGCATGCTTTGCACAGGTGTCCAAACATTTCCAGAAATGGGTTCCTGAGAAGACTCAAAGATAGAAAGAGAAGCCTCATAGATAGAAACGGCTGCAGGATAGTCAGACTATCAAATCCACTGCCACACTCCAATTACAGGTCTGCAAGAGGTGGTACAACACAGAATCATAGAATGGTTTGGGTTAGAAGGGACCTTAAACATCATCTGGTTCCAACCCCCCTGCCATGAGCATGGACATCTTCCACCAGACCAGGTTGCTCAGAGCTCCATCCAATCTGGCCTTGAACACAGCCAGGGAGAGGGCATCCACAGCTTCTCTGGGCAACCTGTTCCAGTGTTTCACGACACTCATGGTGAAGAATTTCTTCCTAGTATCTAATCTAAATCTGCCCTCTTTTAGTTTACAGCCATTCCCCCTTGTCCTGTCACCACACACCCTTGTGAAAAGTCCCTCTCCATCCTTCCTGTAGGCCCCTTCAGGTACTGGAAGGCTGCTCTAAGGTCACCCCAGAGCCTTCTCTGCTCCAGGCTGAACATCCCCAGCTCCCTCAGCCTGTCCTCAGAGGAGAGGTACTCCAGCCCTCGTATCATCTTCATGGCCCTCCTCTGGACCCACTCCAACACATCCATGTCCTTCTTCTGCTGGGGGGCTCCAGAGCTGGACGCAGTACTCCAGGTGGGGTCTCACGACAGCAGAGTAAAGGGGCAGAATCACCTCCCTCGACCTGCTGGCCATCTCTTGATGCAGCCCAGGATACGGTTGGCTTTCTGGGCTGCAAGCGCACATTGTCAGCTCATGCTGAGCTTCTCGTCCACCAGTACCCCCAGGTCCTTCTCCTGTGAGCTGCTCTCAAGCCACTCTCTACCCAGCCTGTACTTGCGTTTGGGATTGCCCTGACCCACGTGCAGGACCTTGCACTTGGCCTTGTTGAACTTCATGCGGTTCACGCAGGCCCACCTCCCCAGCCTGTCAAGGTCCCTCTGAATGACATCCCTTCCCTCCAGCATGTCAACCACAGCACACAGCTTGGTGGTGTCCGCAAACTTGCTGAGGGTGCACTTAGTCCCAGTGTCCATGTCACTGACAAAGATATTGAACAGCACCGGCCCCAGTACCAACACCTGAGGCACACCACTCATCACTGGTCTCCACCTGGACATCGAGCCATTGACTGCAACTCTTTGAGTGCGTGCATCGAGCCAGCTCCTTATCCAACGAGTGGTCCATCTGTCAAATCCATGTCCTTCCAGTTTAGAGGCAAGGACATCATGTGGGACAGTGTCGAAAGCCTTGCACAAGTCCAGGCAGACGATGTCAGTTCCCCGCCCTTTGTCCACCAACACTGTAACCACATCATAGAAGGACACCAACTTGGTCAGGCACGATTTGCCTTTGGTGAAACCATGTTGGCTGTCCCCAGTCACCTCCTTGTTATCCATGTGTCTTAGCATTGTTTCAAGGAGGATCTGCTCCATCACCTTGCCAGGCACAGAGGTGAGACTGACTGGCCTATAGTTCCCTGGGTCCTCCTTTTTGTCCTTTTTAAAAATGGGGGTGATGTTGCCCCTTCTCCAGTCGGTGCAGACCTCCCCAGACCGCCGCAACCTCTCAAATATGATGGAGATTGGTTTGGCGACCTCGTCTGCCAGTTCCCTCAGGACCCGTGGATGCATCTCCTCATGCCCCATGGACTTCTGCACCCTCAGGTTCCTTAGGCAGTCTCGAACCCGATCTTCTCCTATAGTGGGTGGTTCTTCATTCCCCCAGTCCCCACTTTTGCCTTCTGCAACTCGGGCGGTGTGGCTACAGCACTTGCTGTTGAAGACCGAGGCAAAAAAGTCATTCAGCACCTCAGCTTTCTCCACATCCTGGGTAACCAGGTCTCCAGCTTCCTTCTGGAGAGGGCCCACATTCTCCCTAGTCTGCCTTCTATCACTGACATACCTATAGAAGGCTTTCTTGTTCCCTTTGACATCCCTGACCAGATCTAATTGTGTCAGGGCTTTAGCTTTCCTAACTTGCACCCTGGCTACTCGGATAATTTCTTTGTATTCCTCCCAAGCTACCTGTCCTTGTTTCCATCCTCTCTAGGCCTCCTTTTTCTGCTTGAGTTTGGCCAGGAGTTATTCCTGCTCTCCTTCACAAGTGGCTTTCAAGACAAAATAGACAAACAGATTTCAACCAAAAAGCCAGACAAATCTCAAAGCTCTTCAGTGAGCTCTCCAACGCAGGACAGCTAGATAGGGCCAGATACCATAGTAGAGTGTTTTCCTAACAGTTGGTGCCTGTTTTTCCCAATTAATTGAAGGGGTCACAAGAGATGAACGGAATCATTACAAACATACAGAAAACCCCACCTTTCAAGCACGCTTTAATATTGCTTTCCTGCTTGGGCACAATTCTCCCTTCTCAACAGGAAAACATGCCTAGTAAGTGGGGCAGGGTTTCACTGGCAAACACATTCCTCAGTGCAGGTACAAAACTGAAAAGTTACTACAGTGATAATATTTGCTAGATATTAAGACAATCATTTCACTGATGAACTAAACATACTCCCTGTAATGGATGGGCCCTGGAGAAGTGATGGCTGTTGCAGTGATGTGCTAATAAGTAGTGCTGAGTGGCAAGTTGGATAACACCTCCAGAGTCACAGGGATGGTTTTAAGATTACCAAAATAATTCACTTAGTCTGGAGATGTAATTTTCAAAGGTTATCCCCTTCCTCTCCCAGTGAGGCTTCTCCTTTTTCAGTAAAAACTTTACCACTTTTGTGAGCATGAAATGAAAAAGTAGTCACTCTCATTACCAGAAGTAAAGTGAGAAGTAAAATGCTACATTCCACACTACTACACACAGTACTTTCTTAAAAAAGAAAATACAAAAATGTAAGTCTGTCCTATCTATGACAGGAACACCTTCGCCCAATTAAACTTGAAACTCTTAACACTGCCTATACAGTAAGGGAGCGAGGGAAAGGCAGAGGTCCCAGACCGGGCAGCAACCTCAGGTTCAAAGCACCGATGAGGCCATCCAAACCAACCAAGATGACAAAGCGGTTTCCTTTAGACAGCTTAAAACAAAGACTGCACTAATAAAGTTCGGACTGATAAAAAACAAGTCAGGGCCTAGTCTTACCCTCCCAGGTGCTGCCAAAGAACAATAGAAGCATTGTATCACATACAGTAATCAAGATTGGTATCAGGTATAAGTGCCAAGACTTCTCAGCATCCTGCTTTACCTTGACAGTTTAACCACGTGTTTATAAAACAGTCCATAATTTTCAAAGACTCGTGATCTTCATCGGTATCATCAAAACAAGTGCATTTTTCACTATAAGGATCTTGCTTTTTAAAAACAGTTTTCTGACACACGTACTATCTCTTAGTGCAACAAATCTCTAAATGGCACCTTCTAAGACAACAGCATCTCCACTACACAGTTCACTGTATTTTTCTCTTGCTACTGTGGCTGTATTATGGTATAAAAAAAAGAACACTCCACAAATGTTGCTCTCCAGTAACACTTTTAGAATTTAAGTTGGAGAAACTAACTCATGCCAAGAAGACAGCAGCATTTGAAGTGGAGACACGTACAAAGTGATGTGTGGGTAAGTGCTATCAATCAGATTCTTGTAAGAATTATTTTAAAATGCGATTTAGTGCTCTGGTAGCCCAACGGAAATCTTACAGGCACGTCTAGTTTTACAGTTGCATAGTTTCTGTTTCACCTTTCCCTTTAGGCAGAATTCTGTAAGCCTTCTCAACAATCAGGATATGCTGTCCAGTATAGAAGGCATTATTTCACCTAACAACAACTACTTGGGGATGGATTTGAGAAGAAAGCTGCATTTGACAGTCAGCCTTGGGGAAGAATTAACATGTTAAACTGCTGTACCTTCCATTTTTATCCCTGGTGCTGATGTCTGCTCCATGATCCAGAAGGTATTTGCAGACTTCTGTGTGACCGTTTCGTACTGCAAGCAGCAGAGGTATGTTCCCATCCTAGGAACGAACGCATTTAAAGAAACCATGAACAATAATCCATCCACTTACAAATATCACTTTGAGATTCAAAGGTCTGACTGTACTTCCATATAGCACAAAATGAGGTGCTATCAGTACGTTTTTCTCATGTTCCATAAATGTAGCTAGGTTTACTTCAATTCCTCTCCTGACCACTGGGGATGCAAAGCATTAGGAGTAGGAAGGCTTTTTGCTGTTCGTACGCTGTTTTCTGCTTGCTTAATACTATAATGTGATTATTTCAAACTACACAATACCTTTAAGTAGCTCCACAACAAAAATAATAATTGTAACCAAGTACAAGGCAAAAATACAACATTTCATATAATCACAGAATAACTTAGTTGGAAGACACCTTTAGACAACATCTGGGTTTTCTCCCTCTTTGCTCTCTATCCACAGCTAGGCATATTTCAAGTCACAGTACATTGCTCAGAGACTTGTGCAGTCACATTTTAAGCACCTCCAACGGCAGAGACACCATGACGTTTCTGCATACCAGTTCCAGTGTTTGACCACCTTCTTGGTGAGCTTAATTTTTTTCTAGTACCTAACTGGAATTTCGGATCACTGCTTGTCATCATTTTGTCATGCACCTGAGGTTGGTCTGGCTGCCTCTTCCCTATTATCAACCATGATGTAGCTGAGGATATTTTTAAGATACTCTTGCAGCCTTCTCTTCTCAAGAGTGAACAAATCTTTTCTGCCTTTAAAATGCACCTGCTGAAATTTTAGGTCTAACCTCTGTGACAGATCTTTTTATTAGAAAGGCCAGATAAGAAGGAGATAGACCCAAGTCAAAAAACTCCAGCCAAAAAAGTTCTGGAGACAATGGAAAGATTTTTAATGATGTTCTGAATATATCAGAATTGATTCTATCTACTCGTACCAATGCCCCAATTTAACAAGCAGCAAATTCTGCCACTACTGTGTGAGAATGTGAAGTACTTCCCCACCTCTGTTACGACAAGCCACAAGGGGAACTTCCTCCACCAGAGAAATCCAAGTAGAAATATAAGCATAGCATTACTTTGAACTGCTGCACCTGAGATTGACTGGAATGGAGGATGGTAAAAGCTCTGAAGTAGCTGAAGTGCACAACGGGAGAAGAGGTACGTACCAAATCCTTGATGTTAATTGGACATTTGTGTTCACAGAGAAGCTGAACTGCCTGAAGACAACCACACGAAGCTACAAAAAAAAAAAAAAGGCAAAACAGAAAAGACAAGCATGAAAGTCCATTAAACCCCTTTTTACGGATAAACAGCAAGTTGTATGCAGAAATACAACCAATATTTGTGGTCCAAATTAGCATGAAAAGACATAATCTTTAAAGACTGAAATCAAAATCAATCTAATCTTAAGTATTCCAATGGCTCTGCACTTGCAAGTGTGTAAGTTCAGCTTGTTTAAGCTTTATCTGAAAGTTTAAGCTTTATCTAAAAAGCACCTAAAATTTGTAAACCATCATGCGGAGTCACTCACTAGCTTTATGTAATTAGAACCTAAAAAGCTCCACCAGGCTGAACAGCTAGGAATATCAAGCACAACAAAATAGACAGTATAAGCTTTCAACAAAGAAATTACCTGCATAATGTAAAGCTGTTTTCCCAGAATTGTCAGTGCTGTCTGCTGGACATTTACTCTGCACAGTTCAATAAGGAGAAAGAAAAAAAAAGCTGTCAGAGTAACACCAAGATAATTAAACTTATGTTTGGTACTAAGGACAGAGTGCTGCACATCTTTGAGAAAAGTTTTATGAGCTAGTCCAGAAAAGAATTCTGGAGAAAGTCACAATCTGGTCTCTCCTTTGTTGGTACCAGCTTCTACCAAAGCCACTGGAAATACTCATGGTGAGAGAGATATCCCTAAAAAATGTTATAGTTTTGGAAAAATATGAATCAGGACATAAAAAAGGAAAGAAACTTTCTTCCATGCCCCAGAAAAGCCTAATTTTTCTTTTTACATTACAGTAAGAGTTAAAGCAACTTCGCTTAGCAACTAAGTCAATTCGTCTTGCATTATTTCTGTCAAAGGCTGTAAGGCTTCATTCACGTTTTTGAAAACTAAAGCATCAACAATCCAGTTCTATTTTGTGGTATTATAAGCCACCAGCTACCACTGATCAATCTAGACTTCAAAGTAATAAATAAATAAATATGCCAAATCTTAATCAAGACTTGTTTTGGTACAGAAGATTTTAGTTTACAGCAAAGAGATGATCATAGAATTATTTCGGTTGGAAAAGACCTTTAAGATTATCGAGCCCAACCATAAACCTAACACTGCCAAGTCCACCACTAAACCATGTTGCTAGGCACCATGTCTACATTTCTTTTAAATCCCTCCAGGGATGGTGACTCCTCCTCTTCCCTGGGCAGCCTGTTCAGTGCTTGACAACCCCTTTGGTGAAGAAATTTTTCCCAATATCCAGCCTAAACGTCCCCCTGCACAACTTAACGCCATTTCCTCTTGTGCTATCACTTGTTACCTGGGAGAAGAGACCAGCATCCACCTCACTACAACCTCCTTTCAAGTAGTTGTGGAGAGCCATAAGGTCTCCCCTCAGCCTCCTCTTCTCCAGGCTAAACAACCCCAGTTCCCTCAGTTGCTCCTCACACGGCTTGTTCTCCAGACCCCTCACCAGCTTCATTGCTCTTCTTTGGACATGAGCATATATGACCCTGAAATAATGGGCTTCTGAAAAAATAAACATTAGAGCTTTTGACTGTCAAATGTAGCACTGACTCCAAAACTTCTATGATTTTCTAGGAAAACCGGTTCATGTCGATTACCACATTTTGTAACAAAAACGTCAAGAATCTGCCTGTGTAAAATAATTATTTAGCCTGTTCTATTTCAACTCCAGCATGTCAAGTTTAGACATTCCTCACACATACAGCTTACATCACCAAGCTGGTCTGCAGAAGCAAGAAAGCAACCCAAAGAGCACGAATTATTGGAGAATATTACCAATGGGTTTGCACTTACAAACACATTTAGGAATCTGCGTATTATAATAAAGTCATCAAAATATCAGCAAAAGGAGCCTGTGGTTCCAGCTGGCAAGCGAACGGGCAGCAGACCCCAGGCACCGAGCACCCAGACAGCTGCCGAGTGACGATGCTGCCACGCGTGGTTGCACCAGCGACAGCTTGATGTCACCGTCCGCGCTGCAGAGGGGTGTGCATCAGCGCGGGCAGAGCCGGCGACCAGAGCCCGACGCGGGGAGAGGGCCTCGGCGGCCGGCAACAGCCCTTCCCAGGCGCGGAGGAGCAGGGAGTCCCCCTGCAGCGGGCACGGAGGCGGGAACCAGTGAAACCGGACCCCACGCTGCCAGGGACAGGGACCGTTACAGGGCAACCAGGGAAAAGCAGTTCCGAGGTTGGGACAGGGGATCCGTTCTCCTTCGGTACCACTGTGCTCAAGCGGGGCTATTATTCGCTATTTCATCTGTAGCCATCAGTCTTACTCGTACGTCCAAACTCCTAAACATCTTTCCCATTCCTCTGATCACCTCCACCAAAACTCAACTGGCTTTCTGAAATGGAGCCGAGATGGACAACGTCTCTCCTTGCTTACTAATGCACATCTTCAGCCTCAACACCATTGGAATCTCCATCTTTGCTTCTGTTTTTCTTATTTTCTTTCCCATTCTTTCTACTCCCTTTCTAACCCCTCACTGTCCTTTGCCTCATTTCACTGAGGATTCAAGTATTTCCGTATTTTAGCATCTAAACTACTTTGGTTTCTTCTCCTTTTGACTTTAAACGCTACAGACATTTCTATGGTCAACAACAGACAGAAAGCATTCCAGTGGAACAATATCAAAATACCCTCAGAAGTGAAAAATCATTTTCCCCTGTACCTCTTAACCCATCTACTTCCGAGCCATCCAACCACACAGACCAAACACAGGAAGTCAGACAGAACATGAAACCTGCTTGAAACTCAATCCTGCTACGTCAGGTCAGCTGCACATGGAAAACTGCATTTGTAGACCACTGAGAGAAGATATCACAATGCTTTCTATCATCCATTCACAGTGCCTAAAAGGTCTTTAAACTCCAGCACCTCTCTTGACTGCAAGGAGACAGGACAACAGCATAGGAGTGTGAAGCAGATTATGAGCAGGAAATGTGTCAATATCTAGTGGAACCAATCTGGAGGAACAAAAGGAAAACTGCAAAAACAAAAATTAATTGTATTATTACTCTACCTGAAGTAACCTCTTAATGCAATCAGGGTGGCTGTTCTTCGCTGCAAGATGTAGAGCACTGTGCCCTAAATGAACAAAAACAAAGCAAATTAAGTATTCAGTCACACCAAGCACAGGAATAAACTCTTCCATGACAAAAGCAAAATTTTGAATTATCCATCCTGTTCCTATCACAACACACAAAAAATACGAATAGAGAAAATAAAATAAAAACCTACACTAAGCAGAACGTATTTACAACAGACTGTTGTTCAGGCAGGTGACAGAATAATCTTATTGTCTAGCTTCATATACAGGACTGACAAACATTGTGTCAGACTGTACCTTGGCAGAAGTAAGTCTAAAATTCCACCGTTATGTTTTGTTTCATAAAAAACAGTTTTCTTATATTACTCAGCCTCCCTTGCAGAGAGATGTCTGTTGAGTGTCTTCGTGATTTCTTAGCAAAACCAGCTAAATTCACCAGCGACCACTACAACAAATTTGCATCATCCATGGAGTACACGCAGAAGAGGACTCAGATCACAGGCCTACTTCGGTTTGTATCTCATAAGACTCCCATTTCTGTTAATTTATCTAACATCTCTGAGCTCATATTTAGCTATGCAATACAGTGATTTACTGACTATGGATGTATGATGAAAGATTGCAGTCTCTCCTCTAGTTTCATCTTACAGAGCATCTGAAAAATTGAAGTGGCCAAGATAGCAAAAGAAAAATTACCCACATAACTAAGAAAAGAAGGAGCCAAGATTTAGTACCCAACACAAAGCCACTTCTGGCAGTAGAATCTCACTGTAAATAATGTGACTATTACAGACAAGACTTTCCCTAATGAATACTGGGGTCAACACTCAGGTGAGAGCAGGCAACCTCTTATTATGCAAACAACTAATAAATCCCTAGGCAAGATGAAGTACGAATTCTGAATAATAGTTTGTATCAGGTACACGTATTCTCTTATCATTATGTATAATCTGAATGCTTCTTCCAGTATCACAGACACTTCCTTATAGAGGCAAATCATTCCCATGTATGACAGAAATTCCCTCAGGCTGCAATCGGTGGCCAAAACAGAACCCGTGAGCCCAATGTTTACAGATCATTACTGGAGCGACTGAATGCTGACAGCTCATTCAGGTGACTTGCTTAGCCAGAGAAAATGCTGGGCACAGATTCTACAGATTTGTCAACAGAAATCCATTAAGAAGAGTTTGCCAGTTTCAGATTCAGCTCCCATCATTCTCCTAGTGGAGCAGTAATTAAGGCATACAACTTTTGAGGGCTGAAACAGCATACTTAATAGCTCTCAGCTCTGTTTTGGCCTGTATCAGCTCTTTTCACTATGTCATAATCCTGAGGAAATGCCTTACTGCAACTCCTGTACAGTTAATGGGGTTAATAGCTTGGATACACATAAAAGCAACAGCAAAGATCTTGATTTAACCTATAAAAAGCCTCAGATGAAGTTAACAGAGGAGTTGGCGGAGGGGAATTTTTTTTTTTTAACATTTAAAAATAAATAAAATTTAAAAAGTCAAAATTGAGTAAGTATTTTGCATCTGGAGCCCGCTATAAATATCAGCATTTATAGTATCAGGGCAAAAGTTTTTAAGGACTTTAGAACCTGAATTCTATGTATGGAAAACAAGCATGCCTAAATCTGCTGTACGTCACAACTGCTTTTTCTCCTTGGTGTGTGGTGAAAAGCAGTGCTGTCAAATCTGCAGCTGCACTCTGCACATCAAGAACTATATGGGCAAATTGAGTGTATTATGCTACACGTGTAGGTTCACAGAGGCATACCTGCACCATCTTGGGCTGTCACATCTGCACCATGTGTCACCATGATCCTGAGGCACTCTGCATGCCCCTTCGTGGCTGCCAGGTGAAAACTGTAAGAGAACATTTACATGTCACTTTTATTAATACTTCCTTTCTCTTTCATTCACAAACCAAGTACTGGCAAGTTCTTCCCTCCCTGTCCTTAGACCTTTTGGCATCCCTCCACTGCCTCCCAAGAAGGTAACAGCTCTGAAAGTGAGAAGGTACATCAAAAAGTTTTTGTAGTCACACTTTTACACAGGCTGCTGTCTCATTAATCCATGCCACATACCTTATGTGCATCCAGTCCCACCCAATTTCTAAACCAACATCCATAGTGATGTAACATATCCCACAGAATACCTGGGCTTGGGGAATTAATGAAGAAATCGTTCGCAGTGACTCACTTTGCCCTAGTCATTCTCGTCAATTCCTATTTTCCCCTTTCAGTGGACAAAATGTAGTTCCTCTAAAATGTGATTCAGCTCCTAAATTGAACTAAATCAAGTTGTGCGTCTGCACTGCCCTCTAGAGAGCTCATCTTTCTTCCATGTAGAGGGGAAAAAAACCTTTAGTGTTTGTGAGTATCACCTGAAGAAATCAAAGCTACTGAATATTCATGAAACTATGCTAGAGATAGATTTTTTTTTCAACTTGTGGTTTTGCTTTTCACCTCAAGCACCTGCTTGTTTAAACGGTGGGAAATTGCAGAGGTGGCCAGCCACACCACGGTAGGATGCACTTAACAGCATCAATTACCAAAGATATAATTAGAGAACAAACCAAAGAAGTTATACTGAATTCAAGCCTTTTTACAGCTGAAGGTTCATGTTTGACATCCTTGGCACCTCAAGATTCACAGAAGCTGTCCTATACGCATCCTGATGACTTAATTTTTCTGGGAAGCAAAAATGAAGGAAAAGCTTCTGAAAACAGAAGTTTATATCCTCCCAATGAATATCGTGCCAACATCATTCGTTGCATAAAGAACTGGCTGAATGGCTGAGCGCAGAGAGTGGTGGTGAATGGAGTTACATCCAGCTGGTGATTGGTCACGAGTGGTGTCCCCCAGGGCTCAGTTTTGGGGCCTGTCTTGTTTAACATCTTTATCAATGATCTGGCTGAAGGGGTTGAGTGCTCCTTCAGTAAGTTTGCAGATGACACCAAGTTGGGCGGGAGTGTCGATCTGCTCAAGGGTAGGAAGGCTCTGCAGAGGGATCTGGACAGACTGGATCGATGGGCCAAGGCCAGCTGTATGAGGTTCAACAAGGCCAAATGCTGGGTCCTGTACCTGGGTCACAACAACCCCATGCAATGCTACAGGCTTGGGGAGGAGAGGCTGGAAAGCTGCCCAGCGGAAAAGGACCTTGGGGTGCTGGTCGACAGCCGGCTGAACAAGAGCCAGCAGTGTGCCCAGGCGGCCAGGAAGGCCAACAGCATCCTGGCTTGTATCAGGAATAGTGTGGCCAGCAGGAGTAGGGAGGGGATCATGCCTCTGAACTC